ACAACTTTGTTTTTCTCCTTGAACCAAGCTCTTGGGATCTCCAGTCTTCTAGGTAGAGTTACCGCCATGATGACTTGTCCTTAGCAATAAACCCATTCCCTTAGATGATCTTTCAACTTTCTCTCTAGTTAAGCCTTTTTGTTAGTGGATACGACACATTATCCTTTGACTTTACATAGTCAATTGTGATAATTCCACTAGAGAATAGTTTTCTAATGGTATTATGTCTATGACTTATATGACGAGACTTTCCGTTATACATATGCTCCATGTCGTACCTATAGTATCTTGACTATCAAAATGTATGCATATTGATGCCAAAGGTTTGGGCCAAAAAAGAATATCTATCAAGAAATTTCGGACTCTTTCAACTTATTCACTGTTCTTATCTAAAGCACCTAGCTCAGCGATCATTGTCGAGATAGCAATACATGTCTTTTTTTTGGAAGATTTCCAAAAGATTACTCCTCCACCATGAGTAAATACATATCCACTCGTGGATTTTAGTTCATTTGATCCCGATGATTCAATTTTCATCACTATATCCTTTCAATACCGCTGGATATTGTTATAATGCAAGACATAGTTTTGAGTATTACTTAAATACCCCAAAACTCTTTTCATTGCCATCTAAAGAGTTTGATTGGGATCACTCGTGAACCGACTCAGTTTATTAATAGCACATGTTATATCTGATCGCCCACACTTCGTGATATACATCATACTTCCCAATACTCTAGCACAATCCAATTGTGAGTCACTTTCGCCTTCACTCTTTTGAAATGCAAAGCTCACATTTATTGTAGTCTTGACAATATTGAAATTCAAATATTTGAACTAATCAAATACCATAAGAATTTAAATTTAAATAAAGTGATCAATCAGGGATTAATAAACTTATTATTTATTCGATAAGAGGGAATTGTTCAGATGGTAAGCAGCCATCATTTCCAACCTTAGGTTTGTTGTTCATCTTGTATTCCTATTATACTTAGAACAAAACTTTGAAGAACTTTATTAGAAACAACAAAGTTTAAAGAGTATTTTCAAAACTAGAAAATTAAAACTAGTAGAGAAAATAGAATCAGAAACATATTAGAAACAATATAAAAATATTTTTCTCAAAGAAAGAAAATCGAGTCCACTGAATGCACAGTGTCCCCTTAAGGAAATTATTACCCTCAAGTACCTGAGGTTAATGGAGTATATCCTACAAGATAGAACGATCATACTCACTAGTGTATCGGTACCTAAAACCACGGTTTCAGCGAACCACTCAATGGCAGTAAAGTACACTTAGAATACTAGATGATTAAGTAGTAGTACAAGAAGTCCAGAAAATTTAGTTCTCTTAAAATGAGAGGAAATCCCTCAATTTATAGAAAACAAAGGGTAGTGTGAAAAGGTTCTTATTGTGCCTTACTGGAAAAGTCACAACCCTTTGGAAAAGTCACAATCTTTCGGAAAGGTCACAACCTTTCATAAAAGTCACAACTTTTTATAAAAGTCGCTACTTTTCATAAAAGTCACAACTCTTCATAAAAGTCGCAACTCTTTATAAAAGTCACAACTCTTCATAAAAGTCGCAACTCTTCCTTTTCCATTCACCTCCTTTAAAACCCAACAAGGGTTGTTAGTTCGAGTCACCAAGAGAGCAAAACTGAGAGCTCTTGGGGGAGGGGTAAAATAAAATAAAAAACTTATTATTTTACTTATATATATATATATATATATATATATATTAATTTTACACTTTGTTTGGATGATTGTTATGCATTGTTTCGTAATGTATCGTATTGTATTGTATTGTATTGTATTGTATTGTATTGTGTTGTATTGTATAGTAATGAATACAATGTTTGGATGGATTATATCGTTCTCTGTCGTTACATCATATCACATATCCATAATCAGAATGATAAACCTACAAGAAATTGTAGTGTATGAGGTAGAGATACTATGAAATGGCAGGATAAATGATAAAATAAAATAATTAATTAATAGATAGAGACAAAATAAGAAGAAAATATCAAGGTAACAACGCGATCACACCAAATCGGTTGGGTCTTCTCGTCGTTAGCTAACGATGGATTTAAACAATACGATACAATATAATTTAAGTAACAATCAAAACAAACATTGTATTTAGACTAGCAATACAATATAATATAACGGTTAACAACCATCCGAACAAGGTGTTAGAAAGTGTTTCACTTTGTTATGGTTGTCAACAAGGGAATTTGGGAATCCCCGTCCGTTTCTCCATTTACTAGTTGGGGATAGATGCGCATCGTTAATTAAGAGTGACAACTATATATTATATTCTACTATATATTTTATTTGCTTTGATGTCTGCTTCTGTTTTTCTTTCCTTGTGTTTATATTAGTTTTGACTTATATTGTAGAGAAATTTCAGAAATGACATTATAACTTTGAGCCTTACTTTATTTGGGTGGTTGTTACGTATTATTTTATAATATATTATATTATATTTATCATTTTGTATTGTATAATAAAATATAATATTTTGATAGATTGTATTGTTTTCTGTCGTTGCATAATATCATACATCAATAATCTGAATGATAAACCTACCTGAAAAGTATCGATCGTAACACAAAATGATGTACAATAAAATTTAAGTTACAATCATGAAGATAAATATTGTATTTAAACTCAATGGGAAACAATCGTCAAGCATAGTGATAGTTTACCTAATTGTCAAATGTAGCAATAGTTTACTTCAAATTAAAACTGTCCCAATACAATGTATTAATTTACTATGTGTCTGTTATTGTATACATGGTGTAAATTGGTGTATAGCGAATTGAGTTTTGGGTTAAAAGATTGTTAAGTACATTTTGTGCTATACTTTTTAAATGTAAAATATGCTAAAATCAAAATTAGAAAAAATGTCTTGAAATTTTCTAACATGACTCGATATACAAGTACAACGGACGTGCCGAAAAAAATTTACAATAATTAAGGTCTACAATAATTAAAAATTTCAAAAGTCAATATGTTCAAGAAATTTAAATACATTCTTTTAACAATTCCTCTTTAGAAAGAGGAAAAAAATTGTAAATGCAATAACATCAAATTTATCTAGTTTCTCCTTTCAATTGCAGCAACAAATTGGAGTATATTTCATTTAATTCAATTTGCTACTATTAATTTTCCAATAAAATTTTTGATAAATTTCATTTATGAAAACTTACCATGAGACTCCTATTTAAATGAGCATCAAAACATTTTTCTGGTATAATGTGCTTTCAAGTATATTTGTTTTTCCTCAAAAGACAAAGAAATATATGATTAGAATTGTGCTCAATAATTATGTTTTTTTATTGAAAAAAAAGTACATTTAAATAAAACAATTATTTTTTCTTTTTTTTCGGCTGAAAAATGGCTTCAAGTGCTTCTTATTCATCTTTCTCTTCAAAGGGTAAGAGGAAGTTCAATGAGGTGAAAATACTAAGTGTACTTATTGTGGCTAATGATGATATATCTCAAAATGCATATATATATCTCTTCAAAAGTTTGGAGTGGAGACATTAGGAGTAAGAAATGGATTTATGGCATTCAATATTCATGATAAAACACAAATGTGTTTTGATTTAATCTAATGATCTCAACTATGCCAATTATGGATGGTATCGAGGTAATTAATTCCTAACTAATTACAATTTAATCTTAATTTTATGTGTAATTGTTTGCTCCAATGTTTGTTTTAACGATATGAAATGACTCGATATACAGATGCATATTTTCTGAAAAATCCAAACAATATAACGTTTATCTATGTGTTAAATGTGTTTTTATTTTATTGAACGTTTTTTTTTCAATTACTAGGCAACAAAAAAGTTTCAATCGATGGGGATTACTACGATTATTGTGGGAATAATAACTCCAAATGACAATGAAGAATATCGCAAAAAAATTATGGAAGCTAGACTTGATGAATGCTATGAGATGCCATTAACAAAGGAGATAGTTTAGAGCCTTGTTGAGAAAATTTCTGACAAAGTTTAGAAGAAAATCAAAGGATAAAGATAGATTATAGTGCGTATTATAGAAGAAATAATATTATTGAAGAAATAAATCACCTCATTACAAGACTAAAGTTATATAATATAGTAGTTCTTTAGTTATGTACTTGACCTATACAAATATTACTTTCAAATTTGGTGTGTTAAAGATGTACTAGTAGAACATATAAATATATGATTATGATGCTATATATCCCTATTTCTATGAACTAGAATCCATCTTTATGTTGGTTTCTCATTCGGAGTGTCATATCTATCTTGAGGTCTGACTAATCATCATATATCATACCATATATCATATACTTCTCTCTACTCCTTTCTCTATCTGTAGGGACGTAAATGGCGCGGGTTAGGGCAGGGGAAGCCCTGACCTATTAACATTTTGACCCGCCCTACCCTGCCCCGTTTAACATCTTTCAAATAGATTGTCCTGCCCCGCCCCGCCCCGTTAAGCCCTGCCCTACCCTGCCCCATTTACAACAACAATCGAGACATTATACAGGTACATATATCTATCTAAATTTTACTGCCACACATCTTGAAATTCAGTAGAAGAGTACTCATTTTTCAACACCTAAAAAGTACTTCCAGAGCACTATTTATTATTCTCTTGTCAAAGAGCTTCCAGATGCCCCTTATGTACATAATAATAGGATTGTGCAGGGAAAGTAGAATATGCAATTCCATTAACATGTATGACTGGAGCTACTTCAAGTCTATACAAATATGTTCAATTGTTTATCCTTCATACACTGTTTGGGTCCTTTCCCAGCAAACTACCAAAACTAAATATTGTTTCAAAGTTTGATTGTGGACATCTTAAAATATACAGGAAACCAGATGCCATTCTTGCGAAGAAACTAATGTAGTTGAAAAGTGACTTATAGAAAAGGAATAAAGTTTCTCCTCTTCATCTCGTCGACAAAACTTGACTCCACATTTTCCTCTTCATCAATCAACATTGGGCATGAAACTGATCTCAGGCTCTTCCTCTTCATCAATCAACGTTGGACATGACACATTATCGATGGTTGAAGTCAAACCTAAAAAGAAAATTATAATACTTATAAGAATTGAATAACTAATAAGATACAATGAAAAAATTGCATACCATTTATTTCATTCCATAACTATGTGCGAGCACACATTAGAGCTTCCAAAGTAGTAGGATGCAATCTACTGCGATGCGGACTAATCAACCTCCCACTAGTGCTAAATGCTGATTCAGAAGCAACAGTAGACACAGGAATGGCTAAGAGATCACGAGCCATCTTTTGCAAAGTAGGAAATTTCAATCCATTTGTCTTCCACCAACTCAAGTTATCATATGATGGAGTCTGGGGTAGCAAGCTTTCTTCTAAATATAAATCCAACTCTGATTTTTTCTCCATAGTAGCTCGACTCGAAGCAACAAATCTATCAAAGCTCGATAGTCGATCACCTTCAATAAGATTAACGACTTCACTAGAGCTACATACTTCAAATGACTCCCTTGGAGAAGATAGTCTACTATTATAATCATGAAAGAGATCATAACAATGAGATCGAATTTCTTGAATTTTAGTTGAAACATCTTTACCACAAATTTGTGGAAGAAAGAACTCTACCAACTTCATCTTATATCTTGGATCAAAGATTGCAGCTATACCCATCATAACATGCACATCATCCCAATATTTTTGAAATTTCAATAACATTGCAGACGCCATAGAGCTAATCAAAGGATTAAAGCTTTTCGCCCAGTCTTCCAACTCCATCTTAATTTCACAAACTTTTGTAAAGTATTGACTGGAAGTTGGATATCGAGTCCCTGAAAATTGTTCAGTGATATGATAAAAGAGTTTGAGCTTCCCACAAACATCTTCTGCATGACTCCATTGCTCTTCCGTTGGATACGACTTATAGTTTGAGTCAGTTAGACTCAATTTTTTAAACACTTCTTTGTATTCTAAGGCTGTTCTCAACATTAGATATGTTGAATTCCAACGGGTAGGACAATCATACTCCAAATTCTTCTTACAAGAACAATGTAGCAGACGTGCAGCTTTTTCAAATCTCTCAATTCTACCGGCTGATCCAATCCAATACAAGACACTATCACGTATTTTTCCAATACTTTCTCCTATCAACTTTAGCCCTTCTTGGACAATCAGATTTAAGATATGTGCGGCACAACGCACATGAAACACTCGACCATCCAATAACAAATCTCTTTTATTAAGTTTCTCATCCAATAAGGTTCTCATCATTGCATTGTTAGTACTAGAATTATCAACTGTGATAGTTGATATTCTCCGTTCAAGATTCCAATCAAACAAACAATTAATCAAAGCACTACATAATGCATCTTTATCATGTGGAGCGGGAACATAAACAAACCTAAAAATATGACTTTGAATACCCCATGAATCATCAATAAAATGTCCAGTAATAGCCATGAGTCCTTTTTTGTTGCTATTTGAAGTCCACATATCGGTTGTTATTGCAACTCTACTCGTGACTCTATCCAACAAACTAGCAGTTTTTGATTTCAAATTGTCAAAAAATTTCAGTATGTCATTTTTTATCGTATTTCTTGAAACCATTTTAAACATAGGTTGGAGACTCGCAACAAAGTTCCTAAATCCCACATGGTCAACTATAGAGAGTGGATACTCGTGTAAGATAATGGCATGTGCAAGTTGTTTACGTGAAACATCTTGATCAAAATAGTATCCTTCATCATCACCCTCTATATCACCCTCACCTCTTGGCTTTTTAGCACACTTACGTAAATGATCCCACATAGACGTCGTCCCACAATTTTTAGCATTTTTATATTGAGATTTGCTATACTTACATTGACCATACGGAACACCATCAACATATACCAACTTGAAATTCCATGCTTTAGAATATCTCTTTCTTTTTCCCGGTACAACAACTTCATCAACTTGTGAGGCCTCGGACTATCAGCCTCTAAGGAAATAACATTAGAAGATGAAGCAGGCAAATTCTCATAATTTTGAGATGTCATGATTGCCTATTACGAAAACAGGAAAAAGAGGTTAGATTTCCAATATATATTTTTCACAAATACATCAAGTTCTATAATAGTGTAACTGATAAACTTGAAAATATAGAGTTCATCAGAACAATGGAATCATAATTTCCAAAATAATGCCTAACCAGAAGAATCACTATTCTAAAGAAATTTGTATTGTCTATGTAATTAGTTGTTTTGCACTAGTAGCAAACAAAGAACATAGATTCCAGCTAGCAAATTATACAAATTCAAACAAATGAAAAGTACTTCAAATCCAACTGATAAATCACAGTTCTATGAGAGAAATAGTACCTGAAAATGAAATTATAACACCAATTGAAGATATGAAGAAATCTGAAAGAATAGTCTTAAAAAAACAACGATTCAATCATGATTTGTGGCATCGAAATCGAAACCCAGATGGAGAATGGAGATGAGAATTGAGAGAGATGAAATTTGAGGAAGAGAGCCGCTACTTTCATTCTTTGAAGTAGGGCGTAGGTGATTAAGCGGGTCACTCTTTTTTAATCCGGCCCATTTTTTAATTTGGATTTACCCTGCCCTACCCTAACCCATTAGGATTTATCAAAAAAAATATTTTGCCCTGCCCTAACCTAACCTGCCCCGTTAACATATTTCCCTGCCCCTGCCCTATTAAGAGTGTAACCTGTCCCGTCCTATCTTGCCCCGCCCCAATTGCCACCCGACTACTGTGTACTTTTGTATTTTTCTATGTTGCTTGTTCTCCCCCCCTTTTTTTCTACGTAGGTTGCTGGTTATATAGCAGTGGGGGGTTGGTTCTTTTCTGAAAGGAAGAAAAAAAAAACGTGAGGAAGTGGAGAGACGTGGGGGAGTGGGAGGTGTTGGTTGAGGTTGTAAAGGAATACGTGACTCTTTAAAGTTAATTTACAATTATTAACTTTGGAAATCAACATATCGCAACAGTTGTTTCTTTTGTGTGGAAATTTCCGTAAGAGGTAACAACTGACCTCCTTTCTTGTATCTTCACATTAGCGTAAAAATAAAATTGTGATACTATATTTTCTTGTTTTTTTTCCAGCCAAATACATATAAGATTTTGCTCTACCTCTTATTTTATGTGTCGTATAAATTTGATATATTCATTCTCTTTGAGCTTTATTTTTTAAATTATTTTTTCTTTTTATTTTAAAAGAGCTTCTTAGTTGATTCGTGTTATTTTATTTCACTCAATGAATACGTAAACCTTAGTGACATGGAGTTGGTAGTTAACTTAGCAAACAATGTTTCAACTTATCGAATGGTCGTGCACAATATGTGTAATAATCTATAATATCATAGGATTTCACTTTTATTTTCTCTTATTTTATTTTTGTTTCATTGAAACCTTTGGTGGCATATAGTTCACATTTTGTTAGCATTATTACAGTAGTTTGTCAGCATTTTTTTAATCTTTAATTTTCTTTCTTTTTCCTAAATATATATGTTTTAGTGTTTACTTCAAGAATGTTATCTGCCTTTCTGTCTAAGTTATAATAATGCTATAACGTAGTCATGTCAACTGATTATTTTCCTTCGAAAGTTAAGTAGTTGGATGCGTAAAATATGTTTTCGTCCTTTTTATTCTATTTACTTGCGATTAAGTAGTTTTACCTCTAGAATAAGCTTGGGATGATTATCGCTTTAATATAGATTATTAAGTATACATTTTTAGAGAAGGAATGAATTCTATTTAGGATTTTATTGGAGAAAGAAAAAAAAAGAAGAAAAAAAACAAAAACAGGAAGTGAAAAGCGAGAGAAGCGGAAGAAAGGAAAAAATAGAAGAAAAAAATTAGAAACAACGTGAAAAAATGTATGGGAAAATGTGATAAAAAGAATAAAAAGAAATTCATTGAATAAAAACGAAATATACAAAACAAAAACAGAAGAGGAGGCAGAAGTTGAAAGTATAGGAAAATAGTAATAATAGAATAAAAGGTAGAAGTTTTTTTTTTGTTTTCTTTAAAAAAAAAAAAAAAAAAGAGGAAGAAGGAGAACGTACTAATAAAATATAAAAATAATAATAATAATAAAGTAAAGTTAAAACAGAAAGAAAATTAATATTAAAAAAGAAAATATAAAAAAAAAGAGTTAAGAAGAAAGAGAAACAAAAATACGATATGAAAAATAATAATTGAAAGTGCAGCATGGAATAAAAAAATATATATTAAAATTTTCTTTTTAAATACAATCCTAAAATGCTCAAACTCAAAAAAAAAATAAAAAAATCTCTTTCCTGCATAAATTTTAATTTCTAACTATTAGATACCTATATAAATTCTACCCATAATAACACAATATATATATATATATATATATATATATATATATATAAATACATAAAAAGGGAAAAGAAAAGAAATTACAGACGTTTCAAGATTTGTAAATATCTATTCCTCAACTTTACTTTAATTAGTTTGCATATACATATTTTAATTAATGGACATATATTAATAAAATAGGATAGTTTTAAATATGTTTTAAAAATAAATCAAAGAGTGAGGGTAAATAATTTTCTTAGTTATAAGTTAATAATACAATATCCAAAAAATTAATTTAAGTCATATAAGTCAATAAAGCGACCATGCTAGAACCACGGGACTCGAGGGGTGCCTGACACCTTCCCCTCGGTCAACAGAATTTCTTACCCGAATTTCTAGTTCGCAGACCAACAAAAATAAAGAGTCAAATTTCCTTTTGATTAGAGATTTAAATAAGGTGACTTGGAACACCAAAACTCAATTCCAAGTGGCGACTCTGAAATAAAATAATCTCTTTTCAAAATGTCACTACAATTGGAAAAACTCTATTTTCAAACAATTCGTTTTGAGGAAAAATATGGGTGTGACAGATATATATATATATATAAGAGAACCGCAGGCCCGCCTATGTGGCGCCACCACAAACCAAGATTCCCTTTTAATTTATTTATTTCCAAAATTATCCTTCCCTTCCATGAAAAGTTGTGACTTTAATGAAACGTTGCGACTTTTACGAAGATTTGCGACTTTTATGAAGAGTTGCAACTTTTATTAAGAGTTGCAACTTTTATGAAAAGTTTCAATTTTTATGAAAAGTTCTAACTTTTATGAAAGGTTGTGACTTTTCCAAAGAGTTGTGACCTTTCCGATAAGGTACAATAAGCATTTATTAACACTACCCATCGTTGTCTATAAATAGAGGGATTTCCTCTCATTTTAAAACAACAAAAATTTTGAACTATTTCTTCTTCTTCTTCTGTAGAATTAACTATTTGGTACTTTGTTGTTGTTGAGTTGCTCAATGAAACCATTATTTTTATATCAATATAGTGATGAATAGAATCATTCTATACTGACCGGATCTATTCTTTTAAACCTTGGGTACTATATGGGAATAATTTCCTTAAGGGGACAATGTGCATTCAGTGGACTCGATTTTTTCCTTTCTGTTTCATTCTATTGTTATAGATCCTGATATGTTTTTTACAGTCATTAATTTATGCTTAGGTTAATCAAGAGTTTGATGTAATCATTAGACTATTGGTGTCATGTAGATTAGAATTCTTAAACTTGTAAAATAAATTACTTTGATTTTTATAGAGTTTTCAGTGGCTAAAAGATCCTTGTGATGTCCAATAAGGGACTTTTGAGTGTTTAAAAGTTATGGTGGTTCCACACTACCTTGGAGTTTTAGTTATTCAACTTTCTATCTTATCGAGACATTCAATCGATTAGTGACATAAAAAATATAATGGAATGTAGTGGGATTGTAAGTATTGTACTCAACCTTAATCAAAAGTTTGGGGTTGAAATGTTGGATTGGAGTCAATTAATTACCCCTCAAAGTAGGATGAATCCTTATTAATCAATTATTAATATGGCGCCACCACAAACCAAGATTCCCTTTTAATTTATTTTTTTCCAAAATTATCCTCCCCTTCTATGAAAAGTTGTGACTCTTGCGAAGAGTTGCGACTTCTATAGAGAGTTGCAACTTTTATTAAGAGTTGCGACTTTTATAAAAAATTTCAATTTTTATGAAAAGTTGTAACTTTTATGAAAGGTTGTGACTTTTCGAAAGAGTTGTGTCCTTTACGATAAGGTACAATAAGCATTTATTAACGCTACCCTTCGTTGTCTATAAATAGAGGGATTTCCTCTCATTTTAAAACAACAAAAAAAATTAACTACTTCTTCTTCTTCTTTTGTACAATTAAATATTCGTGTACTTTGTTGTTGTTGAGTTGCTCAATGAAACCATTATTTTTGTATCAATATACTGAAGAATAGAATCATTCTATCCTAACCAGATCTATTCTTTTAAACCTCGGGTACTAGAGGGGAATAATTTCATTAAGGGGACAATATGCATTCAGTGGACTCGATTTTTTCCTTTCTGTTTCATTCTATTGCTATATATCCTAGTATTTTTTTTACAGTCATTAATTTATGCTTATGTTATTAATTGTTTTTTTAGTACATGTTTTAAACTTTGTTGTTTATGTTTATGCTTTCGATCATTATGTAGATATGTTAATCAAGAGTTTGATGTAATCATTTGACTATTGGTGTCATGTAGATTAGAATTCTTAAACTTGTAAAATAAATGACTTTGATCTTTATAGAATTTTCAGTGGCTAACAGATCCTTGGGATGTCCAATAAGGGACTTTTGAGTGTTCAAAAGTTATGGTGGTTCCACACTACCTTGGAGTTTTAGTTATTCAACTTTCTATCTTATCGAGGCATTCAATCGATTAG